CATGGTGAAACCCCATCTCCACTAAAAATACAGAAATTAGCCAGGTGTGGTGGCACTCACCTGTAGTCCCTGTTGCTTGGGAGGCTGAGGTGGGAAAATAGTTTGGATCCCAGAGGCGGAGGTTGTGGTGAGCTGAGATCATATCACTGCTCTCCAGCTTGGGTGACAGAGCAAGACTCTGTCTCAAAAAACAAACAACAAACAAACAAAACACACACACACAAAGGGATCGGGAATCTGATTGATCTCAAGACTTCTTTTCAGGCAAACAATAACAGAAGACGAGAGTAACATTTTTACAATGTTTAGAATAAAAGGATACTTGACTCAAGAATTATATTCATAAAAAAACTTGAATACAAGGATAACACACAGCCAATCTGACGCATGTTAAATCAGAGAATAAGGTATTTATGAGCTCTTCCTTTGAAAGTGAAATTCATTCACCTGCTGTGATATTGTGAAATAAATATTTGGTCATCATTCCACTCCCCTACTCCTTTCCTCACCTACAGGCAATCTCCAAAGTGATGTCTTTTTGTATGCTAATGATTAACTGATAGCTGGCAGCCCTTAGATACCTTCTGGATGGAGGCTGGTCATGAGGAAGGCTGCATGATTAAAAGGTTGTGACTCTGAGCTTCAACCCCCAACCTCTGCAGAGGGGCCTGGCAGTTAAGTTGATCACCAATGGCCAGTGGTTTAATCAATCATGCCTATGTAATGAAGTCTCCATAAAAGACCCAGATGGACAGGATTCCTAGAGCATCCTAATAGCTGAACATGTGGAGGTTCCTGGAGGGTGGTGTACCCAAGGAGGGCATGGAAGCTCTGCACCTCTTCCCCCATACCTTGACCTATGCATCTCTTCATCTGTATCCTTTGTCATATCCTTTATAATAAATGTAAGTTTTCCTTGAGTTCTGTGAGCTGCTCTAACAAATTAATCGAACCCAAAGAGGGAACTGTATGAACCCTCACTTGAAGCTGGTCAGTCAGAAGTTTCAGAGGCCTGGACTTAACGATTTTTGTCTGAAGCAGGGCCAGTCTTGTGGGACTGAGCCCTCAACCTATGGGATCTGATGCTTTCTCCAGGTAGATAGTGTCAGAATTTAATTGGAGGACACCCAGCTGGTGTCTACTGCAGAACTGATTACTTACTTGGTGTGTGGGGAAAATAACTACACATTTGGTCAAAAAAAGCTTCTGTGTTGACTGTTGTGTTGAATAAGAGAAAAGAAGAAAGCACGTTGAGTTTGTGTTTTTGTTTCCACTGACGCACCCAGTGATTCCTCACAATAAAAAACTCAGGGATAAAAATGCTATCTATGATAAAACTTCCAGCAATGATTATTCAATCCTTTTAAAGTTAAGATTAAACAACAGGGCACACTTTGGCTATAAAAACTAACATGGCTATAGAAATGAATACAACTTTTACAGATTTTTTAATGTGAAATTCTTAATGAAAAAAGCGGAGTTTTAAAGTGCTTCTTTCTTTCTTTCATATGAGAAAAGAACTTTTATCTGAGGAATGCAAGCCCTTTTAATTATCAGGCCCAGAAAGAATGAAAATGAGACTGCAATCATGTCCTACTTGCCACCCTCTGAGCTATGTATTTATCTTTTTTTTTTTTTTTTTTTGAGACAAGATCTTGCTCTGTCACCCAGGTTGGAGTGCATAGGTTCACTGCAGCCTCCATCTATGGGGCTCAAGCGATCCTCCCACCTCAGCCTATAAAGTAGCTGGGACTACAGGCATTTATCACCATGTCAAGCTAAATTTTTTAAATAATTTTTTTTGTAGAAACTGGGTCCCACTGTATTGCCCACAATGGTCTTGAACTCCTGGACTCAAGCAATCCTCCTACCTCAGACTCCCAAAGTGTTGAGATTACAGGTGTGAGCCACCATGTCCGGCCTGTATTCATCTCTTGAAACTGCTTGCTATTGCTACAAGTACCTATAATTTAACCTAATAATGCCAAACCAGACACTATGACCCATACCCTATAGATTAACAATGCATAGCCAATCACTAATTAATGTTATTTCTTGTAGAGTAAATACAGTTCCTCACAAACTTTGTATCAGCCCACTCCCTATCTCTCTTTTTTGCATTTAAAAATTCACTCCTGGCCAAGTGCCGTGCCTAAGACCTATAATTCCAGCATTTTGGGAGGTCAAGGTAGGCAGACTGCTTGAACTTAAGAGTTTGAGACCAGCCTAAGCAACACAGCAAGACTCTATCTCAATTAGAAAAAACAAACAACAACAACAAAAAATCTTAAAAACTTAAAAAAAGAAAACAATTAATAAAAGTCCATTCTTAACTCCTGCTAACAGAAGTGTGTATCAGGGCAATGTGAATCTGAACTCCCAGGCTAGGGTGCAATCCTCAAGCTTGGCCCCAATAAACTCTCTACTTATACTAATTTTACTTCAACTTCTTTTAAGGTCAATTCATACCTGAGAGTCACACGATATTTTCAATTGAAATAATAAATGAGAAAATTCTGACCAGGCCTAGTGGCTCACACCTACAATCCTAACACTTTGGGAGGCTGAGGCAGGCAGATTGTTTGAGTCCAGGAGTTCGAGACCAGCCTGGGCAACATGGCGAAACCACGGCTCTATTCAATTTTAAAAAATAAATATATATTAAATAAAAGAAAAGAAAAAAATTTGATGACTCCAACACCTTTTTTTCAGTCTCATTTGTTATTAGAAGAGTGTTTAGAAAATAAATATAGTTTGTTGAGAGAAAATACCGCATGAAGTTCAAAATTTTCTTCAATTTCACTTTAATTGACTATTACTCTTAAATTCAAGTTAACACTTACATAGCACCCACTATGAGCCATGTACTTTTCAATATTCAGTGATTTGGCTAGGTGCAATGGCTCATGCCTGTAATCTTAGGGCTTTGGAAGGCCAAGGTGAGAGGATCGCTTGAGGCCCAGAGTTTGAAAACAGCCTGGGCCACACAGTGTGACCCCATCTCTACAAAAAACTTTACAAATTAGCCAAGCATGGTGGCATGTGCCTGAAGTCCCTGTAGTCATAGCTCCTTGGGAGGCTGAGGTAGGAGGATCACTTGAGCCCACTTCAAATCTGCAATGAGCTCTGATTACACCACTGCACTCCAGCCTGTGTGATATAGCAAGACTCTGTCTCTAAACAAACAACCAACCCATACATATATATATTTTTTAAATTATATATATCAAATATTTTACATATATACATATATAGTCAACAAGTAATTTAGTCCTTATGACAACCTGTATAAGTCCTCATAACCTGCACTATTATATACATTTTGTAGACCAAAAAACTGAGCCTTATAGACTTTGGGTAATTTGTCCATCGCTATACAGCAAGGAAGCAGCGGAACCAATATTCAAAGATAGATTGGGTTCAGAATCTGTGCTCTTAGTCTCTACATTACACTGCTTCTCAAATACAACAACATGTAGAGAATGAATTGATTTTTATCCAATTAATTCTATAGCTACCTCCAATCAACCCCAAGCCATCTATCCTTCTAGGTAATGATATTTAAGTATATAAGAGAAAATGTTTGAAATAATGTTTCCCTATGGATAAAGATGGTTATTTTGGAATAGGCATTGTGGAATTTAGGTGAATGTTTTTGTTTCTTTATTTGTTTTTTTTTCCAACGAATTTAATGGTCTATAATGAGCCTATCAATCTTCAAAAAAATGGAATCATTAATCTAAACAAAAAACAAATATTACCTAATCACAAGTTGAACACATATTCGTAATTATTTATGGCTTTTTGTCTCCCCAGTGAACCATGTTTTAATTGGCACTTTACTCCGTTCCTCCACAGAGCCTACTACAACACTGGACAAAGTAAACATGCCATAAGTATGCTGATTGATCATTAAACATTAGATTACTGGATTCTATCTATCTGTACAGGTAACATATTTCTAGATATTCTAGGGCCTTTCCACTAAAGCATATTCCTTAGACTACCATCATGCATAACATCTGGGAGCTTGTTATAAGGACAGAATCTCTGGTCCCAACCCAGGCCTAATGAACCAGAATCTGCATTCTGACAAGATCCCCCAAGTGATTAGATTGTACATTAGAATTTGAAAAGTACATATTTCTAGGGCATTGTTTCTCTAAGTGTAGTCCATCATTTATCTATCAGAATCACCTGGGTTGCTTTAAAAAATGTAGATTCTTAGGCTCCACCCTATTCAAGTATCACTCAAGTTTAAAAACCAAAGCTAAAAAAAACTGCAAGTAAAAAATAGTAAAGAACAGGAACAGGGATATTAAGCAGAGAGCAGTGAAAGACTTAGATGGCTCAAATAAATTTTAAAAGTGATAATAAGGAGAAGAGGAGATAATAAAAAGAGGAGTCACATATGAAGGAACAACAAAACTATGAAGAAATAAAGAAAGTAATTGTATTGAGAGTGATGTGCAATTCTTTCTTTCTTTTTTTAAATTGACTGCTATTCCTGACAGGCAAACTAGCATGCCAAAGGTTTTAGAAAAAGACTGGAGAGGTCGGGCACGGTGGCTCACGCCTGTAATCCCAGCACTTAGGGAGGCCAAGGTGGGCGGACCACAAGATCAGGAGTCTGAGACCATCCTGGCTAACATGGTGAAACCCCATCTCTACTAAAAGTAAAAAAATTAGCCAGGCATGGTGGCAGGCGCCTGTGGTCCCAGCTACTCGGGCGGCTGAGGCAGGAGAATCGCTTGAACCTGGGAGGCGGAGGCTGCAGTGAGCCGAGATTGCGACACTGCACTCTAGCCTGGGCAACAGGGCAAGACTCCATCTCAAAAAAAAAAAAAAAAAGAAAGAAAGAAAGAAAAAGACTGGAGATATGCAATCTCCTAGGGTAACACATTAAGAATGAGTCACATTTTTGAATACGTAACTACCACCTAAAGCATACCTTTTATAAGTGCTCCTAATATCATACAGAGTTTTCAAAGTGTACATACATGTTTAGAGACATTTCCATATGCTTCGCTCGTGCAATTGCTTCATCTCTCTCCTCAATGGCTAATTGCAGTCTAGACATAACAGCTTTATCACGTTCCTTCTGCGCAAAATACACTTCTTCAACCAGAGCTACCAAAATATATAAAGCACACAATCAATCACAGAAAATAAAGGAGAAATGTATACCTTTAGCAAAAATAAAAGCCACAAGTAATTATTATTGTAAGGACTACTCATTAAACTGAATTAATATCAATTAATCAATTCAGAAAATAGTATTTTTAATAAAAGGTACTGCAAAACTGGGATACCACTTCATACCCCTAAAAAGAGCAAAAATTTAAAGGTCTAATAATAGCAAATGTTGTAAGCCTGTGAAATAAAGAAAACTCTCATACATATTGCAGATGGGCAGATACATTTCTACAACCATCTGAAGAGCAATTTGGCAATGTTTATTGAAGTTGAAGACAGGCCTAGCCTAGCAAATCCCCTCTTTAATATGTAGCCTAGAGAAATTCATGCACATATGTAAATGTAAACATGTACAAAAATACTTACTGCAGCATTGCTTTTAACAGCAAAAGGTTAGGCATAACCCAAATGTCCATCAACATTAACAGGAATAAATAAATTACATTCAGAATGGAATACTACCCAGCATTTAAAATGACTTGACTATGGACAAATGGACAAATCTCAAAAACAAAATGCTGGCAAAAATAGCAAGTTTCAAAGTAAAACAACTCTACCCACCACTTATGAATAGACGCAGTTAGTAAAAATAATACAATGAGCAGGACAGGCACAGTGGCTCACGCCTGTAATCCCAACACTTTGGGAGGCCTAGGCGGGCAGATTACCAGGTCAGGAGACCAAGACCATCCTGGCTAACATGGTGAAACCCCGTCTCTACTAAAAATACAAAAAATTAGCCAGGCATGGTGGTAGGCGCCTGTAGTCCCAGCTACTCCGGAGGCTGTGGCAGGAGAATGGCGTGAACCCAGGAGGCGGAAGTTGCAATAAGCCGAGACTACGCCACTGCACTCCAGCCTGGGTGACAGTGTGAGACTCAGTATCAAATAAATAAATAAATAAATAATAATACAATGATCATGAAAAGGGTAAACACAAAATTCAAAATAGTAATTATCTCAGTGGGAAGGTGGAAGGGGAGGAAAGAAAATGGGTAAGGGAAGAATAAAATAGGACAATGCTGTGCTGTTATAGTAGTGCACATCTGCATAGAGCAGGGGACACTGTTGATATAGATTTTAATACAAATGGCATCATCTAGATTTTTGCAGCACTGTATCAAGAGCTTTAATGTTATCTGAAATTATCATTTCTTAAGCATAATTTTATTGTTTGTATGTTTGAAATCTTACATAATTTTTAAAAACATTACTGCAATGTGGGCCAGGCACGGTGGCTCACGCCTGTAATCCCAGCACTTGGGGAGGCCAAGGCGGGCGAATCACATGAGGTCGGGAGTTCAAGACCAGCCTGGCCAACATGGTGAAACCCCCGCCTCTGCTAAAAATACAAAATTAACCGGGCATGGTGGCGCATGCCTGCAATCCTAGCTACACAGGTGGCTGAGGCAGGAGAATTGCTTGAACCCGGGAGGTGGAGGTTGCAGTGAGCCGAGATCACACCATCGCACTACAGCCTGGGCAATGAGAGCGAAACTCCATCTCAAAAAAAAATAATAATATTACTGCAACATTAGACAAAGAGGGCCTCAAATACCTGAATTGCTGAACCAAATTTTATTTATACTGTCGAACTACAAAATAAACTTCAGAAATATTTTGAAATGCTCTTTTAGTTTGTAAAGCATTGGATCCCTGCCCAAGGATTGTTACAGATTAATATACAGTTAATCAAGATAGTTACTGGCTCAGCATGGTAGCTCACACCTATAATCCCAGCATTTTGGCAGGTCAAGGCGGGAGAATTACTTGAGCCCAGGAGTTCGAGACCAGCCTGGCCAACATAGTGAGACCTTGTCTCTATAAAAAAATTAAAATTTGGTAGGCCAAGGTGGGAGAATCACTTAAGCCCAGAAATTTGAAACCAGCCTAGCCAACTTGGTGAAACCCAGCTGGAGCCTAGGAGGTACAGGCTGCAGTAAGCTGTAATTGTGCCACTGCACTCAGCATGGATGACAGAGTAAGACCCTGTCTCAAAAAAAGAAGAAGTTATTATTGTATTTCTTAAATTGTAAGTAGTGGAAAAATGGTGGTAGAGTATTAAGCATGGATCTAACTAGCCAGTCAGTTCACACCCTGGGCAAGATGGCATAAAATTTCATTACACTACTCAAAACAATACGTAATTTAAAACTTATGAACTGTTTATTTCTGAAATGTTTCACAATATTTTCAGACTTTGAATAACTGAAACCGTGGAAAAAGGAACCACAGATAAGATGGGACTACTGCATCAATTCCCCATGCTGGTTTTTTGTTGTTGTTGTTGTTATTGTTGTTGTTGGTTGTTTGTTTTGAGAGTCTCATTCTGTTGCCCAGGTTGGAGTGCAATAGTGAAATCTCAGCTCACTGCAACCTCTGCCTCCCGGGTTCAAGCAATTCTCTTGCCTCAGCCTCCTGAGTAGCTAGGATCACAGGTGCCCACCACTATACCTAGCTAATTTTTTGTATTTTTAGTAGAGCTGGGGTTTTGCCATGTTGGCCAAGCTGGTCTCGAACTCCTGACCTCAGGTGATCCACCTGCCTTGGCCTCCCAAAGTGCTAGGATTACAGGTGTGAGCCACCACGCCTGGTGCCTCGTGCTGTTTCAACAGCAACTTCTATCAACTGTAGTACACAAAAATGAATTTTATTTTTCCCTTCTAATGCTACAGAATATCCTACCAGTAAGGGCAGTAATAACAGCTTGGAGAAACCAACATGGTGTATCTTGCATAGTATGGTTAATAGCATGGTGTATGGAAGAATATGAGTTTTAATTGTGATCTAAGGTATTAAGGGTTAGCAACCTTGTTTTTGTTAATTTCTTAAACTATTTTAGTTGAAGTTCGGGTATATAAAATGGGTAAAATACCACTATTCATGATGTTATGAAAAATTCAATTAGAAAATATATGAAAGCTCTTGGCCAAATAAATAAAATAAAGTGGATCATCAACAAATGTTAGTTCCATTCTACCACTACAGTAACAATACTCAAACCACAGTCACAATGTGACTTAATTCCTAGACATATTAATAATGTGGTTTTGATTAATTTGTACTACTCACATATTAAAAATCTAAGTCAAAATTCCTCAATTTTTAGCCTTTTTCATTGGCAGGCAAAAATTATGTAAGGGACTGAAAGAAAAATTATTCTGAATCCATTCTATATTGTATGCTGCATACCATATTTATATTAATAATAGTTTATCAAAAATATTGCAGTGGCTCACACCTGTAATCCCAGCACTTTGGAAGATCAAGGCAGGTGGATCACCTGAGGTCAGGAGTTTAAGACCAGCCTAACCAACATGATGAAAACCCATCTCTACTAAAAATACAAAACTTAGCCAAGCATGGTAGCTCACGCCTGTAGTCCCACCTACTTGGGAGGCTAAGGCAGGAGAACTGCTTGAACCTAGGAGCAGGAGGTTGCAGTGAGCCAACATCGTGCCACTGCACTCCAGCCTGGAAGACAGAGCAAGACAGGGTCTCAAAAATCAAACAAACAAAAATATGGTATTCTAAGATTTTTTAAGTTTAACATTATCATATACTTCTAGGTTGCCTCCTTAGTGCAGCAGGCAGCACATCAGTCTAATAAAATACTTCTAATTTGTAGGCCAGACAGAGGGACAAAATGATGGTAAATAGTGATGTAAGCATAGATCAACATGCTACCCTGAAATATTCTGAGATATCAAAAGGTTAAAACACTAATTACTAAACTTTAAATGCCAATAGATTTCCTTTCATTTCTATAAACTGTGGCCAGATCTTTATACAGTTACTTGTAATGCAAGTTATATACCACTTTACATGAAACAGTAGCTGATGAAAGAGGTAAGACTAGCATATCAGGTGCTTTAGTAATAAGTCTAAACATCTCTATGCTTAAAAGTAAGTATTATATACAGAGGGCTTCTTTGGTCCTGTGTGATCAAGAGAAAACATTTTTTTTTAATGCTACTTCAAATCCAAAGATGTATATGTGCATTTAAAGGATATTGCCATTTAAGTATTCTAAGGTTAAAATTTTAAATGCCAGAAAACACACATGCACAAACACATAAAATCTGGTTATAGAATTTATAAATGATAAGAATGTTTTTCAAAATTAAGGTATTACTCTAAAGATTCAATGCAATCCCTATCAAAATTCTACTGTAATTCTTCACAGAAATAGAAATAGAAAAAACAATCCTAAAATTCATACGGAATCACAAAAGACCCCAAACAGTCAAAGCAATTTTAAGCAACTACCATTTAAAATATATCACAAAGCCAGAGTAATCAAAACAGCATGGTGGCTGGGTGTAGTACCTCATGCCTGTAATCCCAGCACTTTGGGAGGCTGAGGCAGATGGATCACCTGAGGTAAGAGTTCGAGACCAGCCTGGTCAACATGGTGAAACCCCATATCTACCAAAAATACAAAAATTTGCTGGGCGTAGTGGTGCATTCCAGTAATCCAGCTACTCAGGAGGCCGAGGCAGGAGAAGCACTTGAACCTGGGAGACGGAGGATGCAGTGAGCTGAGATCACGCCACTGTACTCCAGCCTGGATGACGGAGCAAGACTTTGTCTCGGGAAAAAAAAAAAAAAAAAACCCGGCATGGTACTGTCATAAAAACAGACACACTGACCAATGGAACAGGATAGAGCATCCAGAAATAAACCTACACAATTATGGTCAACTGATTTTCAACAAAGGTACCAAGAACACACAATGGAGAAAGTACAATCTCTTCAATAAATGGTGCTGGGAAAATTAGATATCTGCATGCAGAATAAAAATAAGCATCATCTCATCCCTTATTCAAGAACCAGTTTAAAATGCACTGAAGACTAAAACATAAAACCTGAAACTGTAAAACTACTAGAAGAAAACATGGGGAAAGTTCCATGACATTGGTTTAGACAGAGACT